CAGAGTGTAACTGTGACTGTGGCCAGTCAGCAAACCTTTTAAAGACTTGTGATTCTTTACATGCTGCTTTTATATCAATGGAGACCCATACTTAGAGGCTTCATAATAACAGCCTGCACAGCTGCTGACTGGCAAGACTTAACACTAAACTAATCAAATCTACATCGGTCGTTATTGTGTTACATTCACAGGCTGATCTACACTACTTCACCATAGCAGGTCTTTTCTATTTGCACCCACCTCTTCTCCGAGTATGGCTCAAACTCCTCATCAGACAGCCCTCCTTTTCTACCCTCATCAAACTCATCTTCAGAGATGACCCTGGACACACACAAACACAACATTTACAACATTTCAATTTCTAATAATTGCCAAACCTTTTGTAAATATGAACTGTGGGACCGACCTGTCAGAAAGATCACTGCCAGCAGTTCTGTCCTCCAGCTGACCCGGAGCAGGAGACGAGGCCTCCTCGTGACCTGTGTAATCTGAAGGAGAGAGGAGGAGAAGAAAATGTTAATCTGAGCAATGATGAGGTCTTAACACGGGTTTCAGTATGTGCAGAAGAAGAAAAAGTATTTTCTATATTTCAGCTGGGATGTCTGTGCACATCAGTCTCGAGTCTCCAAAAATGAATACACATCTTTAATAGTTTATCTTCCTGGAAACACTCATGATATTCAGACACGCTGATGTGAATCAATCATTAATTTTTATTTGATGAATAAAAAAAAATATGAACATTTAAGTGCAGATGGTCTGCAAGATCTTAAACATCATCCCGAGGGAGACTGGGGACACTGAGTCCACATGCGCCTCGAGGCAACTGTTGGTGTGATTTGGTGCTATATAAATTAAATAAATTTGAATTGAATGGACCATGTTCAGCCGTTGCACTCAGCTGCGGCTGCAAGGTGGTTGGTGCCTGTTGTTGGTAATCCCCGAACCAACTGGTGGACACCAGAGGCGAAGGGAGCCATGAGGCTGAAGAAGGAGTCCTATCAGGCTTGGTCTGTGGGACATGTACCAACAGGCCAGGCGGAACACAGCTCGAGCAGTGGATGAAGGAAAACTTTGAGTGTGGGAGTGGTTCAGCGAGGCCGTGGAAAAAGACTTT